TGGTAAAATATAAATAACATTAAATTTATATTTTAACCATTTTATGTGTATACTTCTGTGGCATTAAATATATTCACATTATCGTGCGCATTTTAATTTTGATAACAACTTATCAATTTTATCTTTTTGTGATTTATGCTTTTTATATCCTAAGAAATCTTTTTCTATTTCCAAGTTGCAAAGATATTCTACTTTGTTTTCTTTTATAAGCTTTATAGCTTTGGCTTTTTGTTTAGGTCTATTATCCACCTAAAATTAATTTTTACATTTTATGTGAGGTAGGTGTTGAGGGTTTATTTTTTTCCCCAGATATTCAGTTGTTTTAGCATCATATGTTGAAGAAACTTTCTTTTTCTCAATGGCTTGTTTTGGTGCTTTTGTTGAAAATCAAATAACTCTGAGTCTATTTCTGGGCTTTTTAGTATGTTCCACTGATACATCTGTCTACCCTAATGCTGGTCCCACACACTCCTTTGGTTGCTGTTACTTTGTGGTAAACTCTGGAAGTCAAGTATTATAAGTTCTCCAAATTTATTCTCCAAAAGAAGAATATGTCTTCTTTGCTGCTCTTGTTTTTCACCTCGGCAATATTTCTTCCATGTCTGCATAATAAAAGAGGGTTGTAGCAGATATTTGACATTTTGAGCTCTCAGCATCCAAAATCCTCTTATTTTGCTTCCTTTGCCTGCAATACCATGTCCCCTTTTCCTGTCTATCTCCTATTTATTCTTCAATTTCTAGCTATTCTACAAAATTTACATTTGCATAAAAAATAAAATATTTAGGAATATGTTCAGGACTTATAAGACCTTTACACTGAAAACTACATAATATTGCTGAGAGCAATTAAAGAAACTTTCTAAAAATAAAGAGATATACCATTTTTATAGATTGGAAAACTCAATATTGTTAAAATGTCAATTATCCCAAAATTGATGTAGAAAATTAGCACAATTCCAATCATAATTTCAGCAGGCTTTTATCTATTTATTTTTTTTGGAAAGTAATAACCTTATTCTAAAACTTATATGGAAATGCAAAAGACCTAAAAACCTCAAAGAATCCTAAAAAACAAAAACAAAGTTGGGGAATTTAGGCTATCTGACATCAAGACTTCCTATGCATAGCTATTTTTTCCCCCTAGGATACCTTCTAGGTTTTCCCAGTCTGGGTTAAGTGCCTCTCTTCTGTACTCCCATTGTATTCTGCACTACTATCATCAAAGCACTCAACACAGTGTATTTCAATGATGTATTGTTTCTGCCCCTAAATTAGGTTAGGTTCCTGGACACACACACACACACTCTCTCTCTCTCTCCCCCCCCCCCACTGTGTGTGTGTGTGTGTGTGTGTGTGTGTGTGTGTGTGTGTGTGTGTAGTTAGGCGCCTTCCCCCTACACAACACCAAGCAATTCTCAGACACAAACAGGGTGTCCAAGAATTCAGCTCAATCCTGACACTATCAACCTGGAGATAGCATCAGATTCCACAGATTAAGGGTTCAGTTCTACAAGACAGCACCCTCCCTTTCAGATGCCAGTCACAAGTCCAGATTGCTGTCTGGGCTTCTGATTTGGGCTACAAATCAGAGGTTTCCAAAACCCCATCCCTGGGTTTGATTATTATACCAGAACAGCTGATAGAATTCAGAGAAATGTTATTTACTAGCTCACAGGTTTATTGTAAAAGGATATATATAACTCAAGAGCAGCCAGATGGAAGAGATGCACAGGGCAAGGTATTTGGGAAGAGGCAAGGAGCTTCCATGCTCTCTACAGGTACACCATTCTTCTGGAATCTCCATGTGTTTACCAACCTGGAGGCTCTCTAAGCAGTCCTTTTGAGTTTTTATAGAGGGTTCATTACATAGGTAAGATTGATTAACTCGTTGACCATGGGCGATTGATAATAACCTCTAGCCTCTCTCAGTTCCTCAAAGGTCAGGCAGTTCCAACCTCCTGATCACCAGTTGATTCCCAGGGCAACCAGCCCCATACTTAGGTGCAGTCCAAAAGTTATCTCATTAACATAACAAAGGACACCTTTGTGGCATTCATTACTTAGGAAATTCCAAGGGTTTTAGAAGCTCCCTTCCAGGAACTGTGGAAGACTACTTATATATCATGAGAAATATTTAGGTCATCTGAATGACCAAATATATATTTCTTATAAATCCCAATATTGTAGCTCCCCACCTTAGGTTTCATAAGAGCATGGACCGGGATCTATATCATTTACCACTGAAGCTATATACCACCTAGAAGGGTGCCTGTACACTATAGGCACGCAAGTATTGGCTGCATTAAGTTGAACTTAAGTATTTATGTAAAAGGGTTAATATTTTTTAAGAAAACTGATAAAGGTAGATCTTTTGCCTGAGAACTATTTACTCAGGTGACCAAGGACTAGTTTATTGGACTTGGTTTTGAAATACATTAATATTACAATGATGCCTAAATGATTATGACCATGCATTTTATTCATAAGAAATTAGTTCAAGCCTTTGGAAATCAAATGTCCTAAGCATTTCTAGTATATTGACCAGTAATTGTACTCTCAAGAAGTTAAATGCATGGAATAATGTAGAAAAACAGCTTTATGTACAAAAATGTTCGTTGTTATTGTTAGGTATTAAAGAAAAAAATGGAGACAAGCTAAGAGGCCTACAAAATGAGAATCATTTAAAATAAATAGCATGGTAGATCAACTTAATGTAATATTTTACTGAAATAAGATGATTATCAAAATAATACAATGTTTCCCAAATTGACAAACTAGGTTATGTGTATTAACTTTCCTGCTCCAACTAAACAAGAAATTCGATAATTTTTTTAACTTTCTTTTAAATCACAGAGGAAAGTTGAGAAGCCTGTAAGAAATTACCAAACCAAAATGAAAGGAAAACGTCATGCTAGAGAGGTGACTAGGGAAAATGTGGCTTTTGACCTGAAAGCATTTGCCAATCCTGAAAATTCTGAACCTTAATTTTAAACCCCCTGTGTGCTAGAAAGACAGAAAACAAAGCCAAAGGCCTGCAAAAAATTGAGAGTCTAATGGAAGAAACTTCTTGTAATATGTTGGGACCTCACACACAGAGTGAGGATAAACTAGAAGAGAAATATTTTACATGGAATTACGGCCTAAATAGGATCAAAAGAGCATTTCACGCCTTAAAGTAGTTGAACTCCCAGGCACTTGGCAGAAGCAAATGCAAGTCCTCTCTAAAGAAACTATGTTTATTACAAATCTACATTTATTCCCACAAATAATTTGTCAAATATAACATCCAGTGCACACACAAACACAAGGCTCACAAAGAAAGAACTAGCAAAACAACAGACAACAGAAACAGGTCCACAAAAATTTCAGATATTGAACAACTATGCTGACTATAAAGAACAAAAGAGATGTTTAAAGATCTGTATAGAGAATAGGGAGCCATGAAAAGTGCTATAGAAAATTGACAAAAGATCTAAAATAATTCTAGAAGAAAAAGGTACAATAACTGAAATTAAACCTTCAAAGGTAGAGCTTCTAGGTTGGTGAACACGTCCAGGAACTAGAAGGGTGACACACCCTGAGAGGGCATGTAAGCTCCATGCCATCCCATCCCCACATATTTTGGCCTATACATCTCTCCCATTTTGCTTTTCCTGAGCTGGAAGAGGAGAAGGCCATGTGGACACAGAACCAGAGATTGGAGTTACGCAGCCACAAGCTATAGAACACTTAGAGCCACCAGAAGCTGAAAGTGGCAAGAAAGGAATCTCCCCTTCAGCCTTCAAAATAGCCCTACTGACACTTCAACTTGGACTTTTGGCCTCCAAACTCTGAGATAATAAATTTCTGTTGTTTTAAACCAAAAAAACCCAAAAACTCCCCAAAGCTCAGATCCTTGCTCTGAAGAGGTAGCTCTCAGTCTTGGCTATACACTGGAAACACCTAGGAGAGCTTTAAAAAAAGAATAAGCAAAAAAACACTTATTATGATGCTCCAATCCAGATCAGATAAATTAGAATCTCAGAGGGTGAAGCCCAGGGGTCATTTCCTTAAAATGTGCATCCAAGATTGGGAACAATTACTCTGGATCAGTAATGGGCAAACTGTGGCCTGTCTCCTGCTTTTGTAAATAAAGTTTTATTGGAGTACATGCACACACACAAAACCCAAAGCCCAGTTTAGTAATTAGATTCTGATGAAAAGGGAATTAGAAAACTGATAAAAGAGAAATAATAAAAATTAGAGTAGAAATGAATGAAATAAAGAAAAGCAATAGAGAAAATTAATGAAACAAAAAGTTCATTCTTTGAAAAGAGCAACCGAATTGACAAACTTTTAGCTAGACTGACCAAAAAAGAAAAGGAAAAAAAACCCCTCAAATTACTAGAATCAGAAAATGAAAGAGGGAACATTACCACCAACTTTATAGAAAGAAAAAGTATTATAAAGGAATACTGTAAACAACTGTATGCTAACAAATTAGATAACCTTGATGAAATGGACAAATTCTTACAAAGACACAAACTACTAAAATTGACTCAAGAAGAAATAGGCAAATGAATAGACCTATAACAAGTAAAGAAATTGAATTAATAATCAAAAAACTACTCACAAAGCCCAGATTCACATGGCTTTACTAATGAATTCTATTAAAAATTTAACAAAGAACTAATGCCAATTCTTCACAAACTCTTCCAAAAATTAGAAGGGGATGAAGCACTTCTCAACTCATTTTATGAGGCCAGTATTATTTTGATACCAAAACCAGAAAAATGCATCACAAGAAAACTACAAAAACCAATGGTATGTCTATATGCATGCACTGAATTATTTAAAAGTGAAATTAATAATTCAATTTATAATAGCATAAAAATACTTAAGAATAAATTTAACAAAAGAAGTGTAAAACATACTCTGTAAACCACAAAACACTGTTGGAAGATATTAAAGGAGATCTATAGTTAGAAAAGTATTCCATGTTCAAGGATTAGAAGACTTACATTGTTAAAATGATGATACTCCGCAATCTAATCTATAGATTCAGTGCAATCAAGCTCAGAATTCCAGCTGGCTTCTTTGTATAAACTGATGAGCTGCCTGTAAAAGTATATGGAATTATAAGAGACTTAGAATAGTGAAAACAGTCTTGAAGAAGAATAAAGGAGGAGTCATACTTCCTGTTTCCAAAATTTATTATAAAGTAATAATAATCTAGGCACTGTGGTACTAGTACAAGGATAGACATATAGATCAATGGAATAGAATTGAGAGTCCAGAAATAAACCCATGTGTCTATAGTCAACTAATTTCAACAAGAATACCAAGACCACAATAGAGAAAAGATAGTCTTTTTAACAAATGGTGCTGGGACAACTGGATAGTCACATGCAGATAAATAAGGTTAGATCCCTTCCTCATATCATAAAATTAACTTGAAAAGGATCAAGGCCCTAAATGGAAGAGTTAGAACTATAAAACTCTTAGAAGAAAACAAAGAGTAAATCGCCACAACCTTCAATAGTTTCTTAGATATAAAACCAAAAGCACAAGTAACAAAAGGAAAACACAGGTAAACTGGACTTTATCAAAATTTAAAGCTTTACTTTTGTATTTCAAACAACATCATTAAGAATGTGAAAAGACAATCCATAGAATGAGGGAAAATATTTGCAAATCATATATCTGATTTGTATCAGGGCCTTATGTCCAGAATTAAAAAGAAATCTTACAACTCAATAATTAAAAAACACGATTTTAAAAATGGGCATAGGACATGGATAGACAATATACAAATGTCTATCCATTTATACAAATGGCCAATAAGCAAATGAAAAGATATTTAACATCACTAGTCATCAGGTAAGTGTAAATCAAAACCATGATGAGATACCACTTCACACTCACTAAAATGGCTAGAATCAAAAAATGAAAGAGTAATAAGTGCTGGAGAATCTGGAGAATTTGGAACCCTCATACACTGCTGGTGGGAATGTACATGGTGCAGCCACTTTGGAAAACAGTCTGGCAGTTCCTCAAATGATTAAACATAGAATAACCGCACAATCCAGCAAATTCTCTCTTAAATATATACCTAAGAGAAATAAAAACATAAATTCACACAAAAACTGTACATGAATGTTTATAGCATCATTATTCATAATAGCTAAAAGGCAGAAACAACCCAATGTTCATCAACAAATAGATTAACAAACTGTAGTATACCCATACATTGGAATATTATTCAACAACAAAAAGAAATGAAATACTGATTCATGCTACAATAGCATGTAAGAGAGCTAAAAGTAGAAAGTTGCTTGCAAGACAGTAATCCCATACTTCCTTCCTTCCTTTTTAGGTGAGGCAATCCTTGGTTGACCTCACAGATTGCAAGGACCTTGTCAGTTTACAATTCCTTAGTTTTTTATTTTTATTTTTTATGCCTATAGCACCTGGCCTTTCTAGGTGGTCTCCCATCCAAGTACTAACCAGGCCCAACCCTGCTTAGCTTCAGAGATCAGACGGGATTGGGCTTGTTCAGGGTGGCATGGCCGTAGACTTTTCTTTTTCTTTTTTTTTTTCTTAATACAGAGTTCACTAGAGTTTATGACAAGCATCTTGGTGAGCAACAAGAAGATAAAATACGTCTCTTTTTAGAGCAATCACACAGCAGAATGATAGATTTCCTCAAAATTTAAAGTCTTAAAATAGGAGGGTGATGTGAGAGAGAGGCCCTGAGCTCTGCTTGGTGGCAGCACTTTAAGGAATTGGCAAGATTTTAGAGTGGATGACCATGTCATAAACCTAGGTAAGGCTTTGGGGTTTATAGCCCCAACCAAGTTTCCTGGCCATAGCTTATGAATTGTAAGCGAGGAGAAAGGTATCAGACTTCTGAGACCACTATGACCCTAGAAAATATAGATGTTAGCAGAAACCTTGAGGAACTAGAGCTGTCGCCTTTTTCTGTTTCCTCACTACCATATAAAGCCTGGGTGGAGAGGGGAGCCCTGATATTGAAGAAAATTTAATTTCTTGGTACCCTGACAGAATGAAAGCTTTGAGTCTCTTAATTAGATTTTTTAAAACAATAAAGAAGTGGATATTTCTTATACACTTGAGGTCTTCCTTTTAAATGTTTTTATTTGGAAATAATTTCAAACCAAGCTGCAAAAATTAAAATAATACAAAGAATATCCATATATCCTTTACCCGAATTCACCTATTGTTAAAATTTCCCATTTGTTTTATTATTTGCTATTTATGTATTATATGTATGTATATTTATATAATACACATTTATGTATATGTATATATACACAGCATTTTTCTGAATCATTTGAGGATAAGTTATATATATATATACATATATATATATGTATATATATATAGAGAGAGAGAGAGAGAGATCCTAAAATATTAGGACCAAGAGAGATATTCTCTATCATAACCACAGTTAGGGTGCCAGATTTAACAAAAATACAGGACACCCTGAGCAATTTCCAACAGAAATTAAAGCTCCTGAGCTTTCCTTGACTAGTAAAACTATTATACTCCCTCTTCTGGACACACTTAAACACTGTTCTTAGATTTGATGAATTCTGGGTCTCCTTGGTTACCCTTCAATTCATAAGCCATAAGCTGAAGACACTAGGCAAGGTTTCTGGTAACCAGTTTGTGTCTGTCATGATCTTATTGATTAAAATGAAGGCTGGTCGACTCTGCTATTGAAATAAAACTTGTATTTCTCCTATTTTTCATACTTGCACTATATAATTCCATCTTTTGAAAGTTCTGTTATTTAGTAGTATTTCTTAGAACTGAATTAAATTGAACAAGAACAGTTTTATAAAAACCAGTGTTTATCAAATTCATATGCATATAAATCATCATTGGGCCTTGTTAAAATGCAGATTCTGATTCAGTAGAACTGAGATGAGGCCTGAATTTTATTTTTCTTAATAAGCTCCCAGGGGACATCAATACATGGTCCTATAACATTTTGAGTAGCAAGATTATGGCCCTTTATGTCACAATCAATAGATATTTTTCAAATAAGTAGGTACTTAGGCCCTATCCCAAAGTATTGATTTAATCTCTGGGGCACCATTCAGGAATATACATTTTAAACACGTTCCTAGGGAGATTTGAGAACCAATGGTCTATGGGTTTAAAATGCCCTCTACCTTTTTTTCTGCTTATTTTTGTTCATCAAAGCCCAGTACTGGTCCCTCTTGCCACTTATTCCTTTTATTGACCACCTCAGGCTCTGAATTCTTTAGCAGTGGTCTGCAGCAAGCATTTGCCCGGGCTATCTTTTATTGCATAGATCCTGACTCACGACACAGATTTTATTTTTTTTGAAGTGAATAATTATGTTATATACTTTCTTGAAGCCTCGGCTCCTTGCATAACGCTTAGCATAGAGTAAATGTTCAGTTAATGTTTATCATGGACAATAATAGTTATGATGGTGAATGATAAATTTTTCTCCAGGACACATACTTGTTTCCCAGGCCTTGTGTGATTAAAAGAACCTGCTGACTCCTTTAAAGGAAACACTCGACTGCTTAGCAATAACTCTAACTCCAAACTATGGCATGCTATTTTTCAGGAATTGGCACTATGACCCTTTCATACCTTGGTAGTTTGGATTTTATTAAGGTAAACGGCACTTTAAAGGAAAGAAAGTAATACTTAGAATTTATTATGTCTTTTGTCTGTGAACCTCAAAGCAGTCTAAAGCTATTTATTAAGTTACTCTAGGCATGGTGTGAA